CTCTTTCCATCTACAATGCAAATCCCTTATCATATCCACACTCTTGCTTATACACAATGCTATTTACACGTTTACTATTCTTTTTCACATATCATCTCTTCAATAAATCTTTTGTGCTATCATAGCATCACTTCATTACTTTAATTCTTTCATTACCCTTTTCCCTTATGCTTTTACATTCCTTTTATATCATCTATATCTTTCCTTCTTTATCCTTTTAACCTTTCTATCAATCCTTTATTTCCGTCAAACGTACAAATCCTTTAACTTTAATACACTCACTATCACACAACTTTATTATCCAACTTATTTATTTCAATCAAAATGTAAACTTTCATCAAACTATCCATATATATATTCTTTCTAGTCAAAATAATTCATCCTCTATTTCTTTCACTTATCAAATTTTCATTCTCACTCGTTCATAATACAATTCCTTTGGTTCGAATTCAACCATTTCATATACCTTTGTCTTATAAATGATCATTGGTATACATATTCTTAAAACCTTCCTTGGTCTTTTAATATTTTCCAATTAACATCCATCTCTTCCACTTTATCTTGTCCATGCTGTAAAGAAATTATTCTATTTCAGAACGACAAAGTGCTTTTATTACTATAATTTCCAATCCGTCTATACTGATTGGCTTTATTCTCTGGCGGAGAATACAACTAATTCATATCTAATTTAAAATTGAAAACCAGAATCTTTACCTTTCTTTGATGATATTTAACTTTATAAAGCACTAATTCTCTTAATCATCTGAGATTTTTTTTCTCCAATCCTTTTATTTCGAGCTCTCTCTCTAGAGCTTTAGCGTGATTAACCATTTCTTGAAACGAAAACAAATTCAAAATAATAAACATTTCTTTTAATTTTGGGAGCAAGCCCCCCACAAACCAATTCGCATGAATCCTTCTCTATTGGAACTAGCTCAATCGCAAAATGACTTAAATTATTGAACTCACACTCATATTCATACACATTCATGTGTAATTCCCTTGTTTCAAGCTCATATATTCAAGCTCCATTTATCTTATGAACTGGCCATCCATGTACTTATTCTTGAACTCTTTTACAAACAATAATCACGTCACTTGATCTTTTAACATTCTTATGGTGACATTTGTCCACTATACTCTAGCTTGTCCACGTAGTAACGAAACTACTCAATTTAACTTCTCCATTTTGGAGAAATAAAAACCTTCTAACATTATCTGCCTATCATTTAATCAAATGTTCATAACAATGGAACATTTCTCAAATTCACCCTTGAACTCGGGTGTTCTCAACTCTTTTCGATACATTTATTCTAAGAATTTTAGAAGTATAAAATTGAAAACACATCATAATATCATTCAACATCATGAAACATTCTCTAATCTTGTACAGGCACTCCCCGAGGTTTTCGCTCTTCTCCCTGCCTGGCCAGGGCAGGTGAATGCTATTACCTTCAGTCTATTGCCTTATATTTCACTTTGGAAGCTCTTATGATCATACATCTAATATAACATAATACTTTAACTCTATTATCAAGACAACATACTTCTTACACTATCATATCAGAAAATTTCCACTTTTTGTTGGCATGTATACTTTTTAAAAACGATATTCTTACAAAATATCAAAATATTTGAACTCTTTTTAGAAATACCACATATCTATTAAAACATGTTGTTATAACCAATTAAGAAAATATACGTTTATGAACAGTAAAATACGGTTTGAACAGTACCTCGGTAAAATACTATAAATTCATAAAATTTAAAAGTTCATCATTAAACATTTACCATTTACATATATAATTTTAAGAGATTCTAAAAACTCAATCAGAGCGTTTCTAATACAAATTCTTTTTATTACATGCCAACTAAATTCTTATTAACAAAATACATATATTTCGATCTACATTTTTGATATGATCTTTGGTAAGGAGAACTGACTTGTCTTGTTCCTCTTTACCTCTCTTTTGCTTTCCAAACCTACGTGTGAAACAATCACACACTAAGTCGATGACTTAGTGAGACAAATAAAACATATAATAAAAACATAAACATTTCATATAACAGAATGTATACATGTACATATGACATCATTATCATGATCTCTATCCTATTCATACACTATTATCATTCATATTTCTTATCTCTTGTTCATATAATCTCTTATGCTCTTATCATATATATTATGTCTCATTCTTATAACTAATACAATAACTCATAACACACATATATCATTTCATACAATTCATATTGTATAGAAACATATATCATCATATATATTATATTTGTGTTATCTCTTTAATTAGCCCATGGTACATTGGTGAGAACTGAAGATATGTGAATACATTGAGGTTGTGCACTAATGCTGTCACCACAGCTCGTATAAATTCCCACTAGGGGCACTTAATATTTGTCCCGAAGGATCTCTATGTCCCAAATGACCACTGTATATGTCCCGAAGGACCACTATGTCTCGAAGGACCACTGTATATCCCTCGACTCTTGCAATGCCAACTATACCACTAGCTCTTATATCATATAACATGGGCATTATCATTTATATCATTTCACATATTCACATGTACATTTCACTTTTCATATATTTCTAATTTCACTTAGCTTATAACTTTCTTGTGTTCATAAACATGTAAATCATTGTCATCTCTTGTTCTCATATGCTTCACATACATCACATATATCACATTCAAATCACACTTCATATAGGCTCACGGTTTTATCATCTATCATATGTTATTTCACATATACACTTTTATATTATATAAACCTGTATCTCCTTATCACATAGCTTCTTATTATACCATTCACCTTTCCATTTATTTACATAAGCCACATAGCATTTACAAGAACATATCCACTCATATAATCAAGCATACATATATTTTCATGTCATTCATTTCATTATCTATATCTTTATAATCAATACTCCATACACTATAACTATTGGAAATAGACTTATCACAAGTCCAATTCCTTATAATCTTATAAACTAAAATGCACTAATAAGAATCATATAACATTTTTTTGGAGTCACTTCATACCATAGTAACTCCGTCGTTGGCTCATCGCAAGCCAATGTTTTTCGATAGCACAAGTACAATTAAATTGCACTCACCTTAGCCTTGCTTTGATTCGATCCTAATCCTTTTATTATTCCAGAACTTGTTTAGGCTCAATATCTACATAAATATAACATTTATACATATCAATAATCAAATTGTATACTTTAATCTTCCAATTCTTACACTAAAGGAAAACCAATTTCGTTTCTTGTTTAAAGTAAATATCAGTGCATCCCTAACAGAGGTATAAATACCCTGTCTATAGTGTAGATACCCTATCTATGGTATAGACACCCTGTCTATGGTATAGATACCCTGATGACATTATGAACTTTTCATCTTCAGGGGTATCGATACCCTCTATAAGGTATCAATACCATACTGACATTCTGTAATTTTTTGTTAAAAGGGGGGTATCGATACCCCTTCATATGTTACCGATACCCTCTGCCCAGAAATTACCTTTTAAGCACGAAAATCACCTCATTTCTTTTTAAACGCTTCCTATTTCATCCTCTGACATATACTTAACTCAAATATATACATACTTAAACTAATTTATATCCATTTATTTCATCTTAAACCTCAAAATTCTATTCTCCATATAGAAATCAATAATCATACCAAATTTTCCATGTTATCCAAACTTAATTCTAACATTTCTAACTTCTTATTCTTATAGATGACAAGTCAAATTCAACTTAAAATTTAACTTATCAACTCTATTTCAAGATTTCATTCAAGAACTCGAAATCTTTAATTCTCATATACCTTTCATCTTATTGTTTTAGAACAAATTAAGCTTTCCTTAAGCTTAATTATCATCTAATGATCAAAACCCATCTTTTAATTGAACAAATAATCAACTAATGAAGAAACTTACCTTTGCCTTTGAGCTCTTACGGGAGGAGGAAGAAGAAAGGAAGAACTCATCTTCCACGTTTTAATCTCCTATTAAAGGGGATAAAAATATCTTTTATTGTCAATTGACCATTTCGCCCTTTAATTCCTTTGATAATTACTAATAACTTTTCAAAAATATCCCCGAATAAATCATTGAACTATTCAACTATTTTACTTTGACCAACAAATTCTGAAATATTTCAATTTGGTCACTAACCCCGTATTAAGGATATTATAGTTTGAGTTCTTCATTTCTATTTCACGCCAAGCGCTTCGACATGTTGAGTAGGCAAGGTGGACAATGTTCATGCCAATTGCTCCAATGCATGGAGTAGGCAGGATGACCTGACCATATCCCAAGTACTCTAACATGTGTTGTAAACAGGGTGAAATAGTGCGACAAATACACAGAGGTGCCAGCTTAATGATTGATACACGGAGGCACTCATTTCGTTGAGTAAAGCATGATGATGATGCTTGTTACGTGCTTGTTGCATAGTGGTGCACAGTTGTTAAACTTAGCACAGAGGTGCTTGGTTGTTGATTACATGACATCTGTGCTTGATCGTTTGTAAAAGCATAGTGGTGCTTGATTTTAGATTGCAACACAAAGGTGCTCAATCATCCTAAATGCACAACAGTGCTAGGTTTTAGATTGAAGCACAGAGGTGCTCAATCATCCTAAAGCACATTGGTGTCTGATCCTAGATTGAAGCATAGAGGTGCTCAATCGATTAAGAGCACAGAGGTACCAGATTTTAGACTGAAGCACAGAGGTGCTCAGTCATTTTTAATTGCACAAAGGTGTCAGTTCTCGATTGAGGTACAGAGGTGCTCAATTAGTTTTAGCTACACATAGGTGTCAACTCTCGATTGATGCACAAAGGTGCTCAATCATTAATTCAAGCACGGAGGTGCTATGAATTCAGCACAGCGGTGCTCTTTTTCTTTCTAATTTAGGTATGATGGTGCTTATTTGTGTTGCAGTCATAGAGGTGCCAACAAATTAAAGAGAATGGTTCACACATGTAATAGTGGACCAACAAGCTCTTACAGATTTGTAGAGCAAGAAGTGATCGAGCCGGTTGTACAAGAGACTTGTGCTATTGATCGACAAAGTTAGAAGATATCGAAGCCACACTAGCGCTCTTAGAGCTCATATGATCTCTGGTGATCGTATGAGGAGAGTCGAGGAAACTCAAAAGTATTTGCTTGAGACAGCGAATGATTTGGGAAATGAGGCAAGAGGTTCCATAGGCGTTATACAACTTGGGTTTGAGTAGCTGAAGGCTCAAGGTAGTGTGGGCTTCAAGTAGCTATAGCTTGTTTGACTATGAACCCTATGAAAGAAAGGCGTATGGGCAGAGATCCCTAATCTACAACGTTTGATAGGGCTAGGGATGCTAGATTGAGAATTTTATGGTTGATATGGAATAGTATTTTCTAGCAATGCGCACCGAGTCTAAGGAAGATAAGGTGGCGATTGTCGATATATATGGCAGTTGACGCTAGTGATGGTGGCGGTTCAAGTTTGAAGATGGAGTATGCTCCATTAAGACTTGGAATGCATTAAACAAGGAGTTAAGATTTTTCGTTCTCCCTGAGAATATAGACTATGACGCTCGTAAGAAACAAGGACATTTCTGAAAAGGATAGATTGTTGCATTTCCTTGGAGGGCTTAAGCTGTGGGCAAGGCTTAAATTGCAAACCAGGAGGTTCGATATTTGAATGGAGCGATAGTTCTTACTGAGTGCCTTAATGATTACAATGATCAAAGTGGAAAGCGTAAGGTGCCTTCTACGAGTGGAGCGAATACCCAATAAATAGGTCAGAACAAGTTGGCACGAAGGGAGAAGATGGGTAGAGAATAAGGGACCCAACCCGAAATAGAGTCCGATTGGTTTTGGATCGAGCAAGTGAGGGAGTAGACCCTCATTAAGGTGTTTCCTTGAGGGAGTAAACCCTCATTAAGGTTTCTTTTATAATTGGCCTCATTGGATTGTAGAGTGCCCACCACGAAGTGCTTTTAATGCCATAGTGGCATCAACACTGAGCCAGTTATAATGGGTTCCCTGTGATTCATATTTGCCTTACAGTCCCAGTTGAGTAGTTTGAGGAAAGAGCCAAAGAGGGGATTGATGTTTATGGATAGTGTGTGTTCCTCATTTATTTTGATGATTAACGTTATGCACTTTAACGTTAATAGTAGGCAGGGAGATAGAGTTCATGTTGAGTGCTTCTTCATGGGAGTAGGAAGGATGACATAATCTTACCCTAAGCACTCTAACGTATGGAGCAGAAGTGGTGAAATAATTTGGTCTTGTATAAAGAGGCTTAATTTGTTAAGCTCGCGTAAGACGCATTATCGTATTATTAGTACATGGGTGCATATTCTTTTAGCATGGAGATACTTGTTTGATATTTTCATAAGGGCTCATGTTGTTTTGGCACGGAGGTGCTCGTTAGATGTTCGTATAGGGCGTTTGGTATTGCTTGTTCAAGGGATGTTGATTTTTAATCTTTACGCATTGATTCTTATTCCTTGTAGTAGTGTGATGCCTAATTTATTATCTTGTGTAGGATGCTTATTCTTTTGCGAAAATTGGTGCTCATTGGGTTTTGAGAAAATCATCGAATTGTCAAAGGCTTGATGGTGGCCAGATTAAATGGATCACTATAGATGTTGAAATTGGCTATTCATTTTGACAGGCCATTTATGGGGCTAATACACTGAGTTTGGGGCAAAAGGTCCAAAGAGGTAATGGTGTTAATAAAATATTATCTGACATTTTATTGGTTGTAAGGAAAATTCCATGAAGCATGATGGAAGTCCTAGTGATTTCTCTCTCGGCGTCAATTTATTTTATGTTCATAGGAAGAAAACCATGTATGGTGCCCACTGCGATTCTTATATGTCCCGGGAATAAAGTACTATCAGTTATCCAATTTAAGAAAAGAGGGAATAAGGGAGAGCCTTTATTCTTGGTCTTATAAATTTCCAAGGACTTTGAGAATGTAATGCCAGATAATTTACAAAAAGAGTTGAGGATGTAATGCCAGATAATTTACAGAAAGAGTTGTCACCTAAAAGATAAGTTGACCATGATTGAGTTAATCACAGAAGTAAAGCCTCATGCGAAGTGCCCTTTCACGGATGAGTCCTATAAGAGCTTACTAAGTTAGGAAAATAGTGGGATAGGTTGCTTCAAGACAGATTCTTTCGACCCTCGAAGTCATCTTTCGTGCGTTAATGTTGTAAAAAAACATGATGGAAGTTTGAGATTGTGCGTGGATTATAGGGCATTAATAAAGTGAATATCATAAATAAATAATCCATTCGTCTAGTTGCCGATTTATTTGACCAGCGGAATAGTACCAAATATTCCAAAAATTTGATCTCAGGTCAGGATACCATCAGGTGATGATGGCCCAAGGGGATGAGCCGAAACTGACTTGTGTGACTCAGTGTTCCATGGCTGCCTTGATAAGTTCGTAGTCATCTACTTGGATAATATAATGATGTTGAACACTTTCATGGAAGAGCATCAGAAGCATATTTGGTTGTTTGAGAATAATAAAGATCGAGGCATGCATGGGTGCATTGAGTGTACAATTCATGGGAATGAGGCACAAAGATGTTCATGAAGAGGTCGTCATGAGTTCGAGTAGAGGAGAATGAGGGGCTATCAAATGTTGAGTTGTATAATAAATGTTGTTCGTGACGAATCCATCATGAGAAGGTGTAGGGGAGAAGATGGATGTGCAAGATACAGATTCGAAAAGAATGGTTTAGACCAGGTAAATCACTTGGCATGGTGTCAACAAGTGAGAATCATAAAGATAGAGTTGCAGGATACATATTCGAAAAGAATGGGTTGGATAAGGTAAATCACTTGGCATGATGTCAACAATTGTAAACATAGAGATGAGGGGTGGTGTAGCGCTTAGTGTTTGAGCAGGTATATCATTACTATTAAGCAAGGCTTGAACAAGAATAAAAGTGGGTGAGACAGAATCCTTTGTCGAGAATGCTGCAAGTGAGAAATCGTGAGCTGGGTGGACAAAATTTAGGCATAGCGTTTACAATGGACCGAGATGACTCGAGTTGGGGCATGTCTAACATAATTGAATGCCCATATGTCTTGAGCTAATATGGTACCTTGGGATTGATTACGTGGATCGTTTCATAGGTGACACAATGTTTGAGATGCCACAAAGTAATAGGTAGGTGAGGGGTGACACACCAAGTGATATATCATATGGTTTAGAATATGTGATTGTTCACATGTTAGACATAACCACGATGTTTCATCAAGGTTATATCCTTGGAGAGAACAAGCTCAATGGCAATGAGAGAAAAATAAAGGTAGGTGGGTTTACTCTACCTAAGCTTTGAGTTTGGTGTCACGTGGAACGAATCCTGATCTTATTTCTTGAGGGCAAGAGATAGACCTCATGAGAAGGGTCAACTCTATGCAACAAGTTAACTAAGATATGGTTTTAGTGTCGATGAGGACATCAACCAAAGTGAGTGGGGGAGTGTCCATGAGATTACCTCGACAGTAACCCGATGGTGGGCCGAGTAGCTGCAACAATGAGACAAGGAAAAGCTTAAAGAAGGAAGATGGAGGGCATGTCAAGGTAATGGCCTCAGTTCATACATTCCAACGTGTACTGGTGTCATAGTTGGTAAGTTTCTTTAGCTCTTTAGGGGGAAGTGATCTTGTGTTGGGTCTCCACCATCCCCCTCACCTTGACCTGGCATGTGGAGCTACCATGGTGTCAGTGATCTTCTCCTAGGTTCATGAGGAACCTAGGTGTGCGGGCATCGAGACCAAGTGGATGGTACGATGTCTCTCTAGGATGATACTAGGGACGGTTTGGGGCCAGTGGGCCCTATATCGCACTCTTGGTTGAGGAGTGGGGTTATCATCTAGTATTCTATGCCCCGCGGGATCTCCCTCCCAAGAGTACTTGTGGTTTTGGAATAATATTGTAGCGCGAGACTAATGTGTGGCTTGTTTGTTCTGACAGAATACTGTGGGATCGACTAATGAATTGAGGGGCGATTCTTAGCCAATGCGACTTAGCTTCATGACGAGTTATTAGAGACATGGATCTATGTTGTCTGGGAAAGGCTGACTTGTCTGGAGTTGTCCCATTCAAGTGTCGCACGGCATAACTACAGGCTCGTGATTTTATGTCCTTGACACTACGCGAACCGAGAAGCGAATAGAACTACTCAAACACTCGCTAATTAGACAACGTCGAGAAACAATTATCTTTTATTTTTTTGCATGAACCAGATTGTATCGAACAAATTGTAATCTTAGATGATATTGAAATTTAATGAATTCTCCCCTTTTTTAAGTAATAATAATAAAACAAAACAAAATAGAACCACACACGTAACACGTTGGCCTGAATCCCGAGCCAAGTCGAAGTCACCTTCCCTGCTTATAAATATACTCCCAAACTCTTAATCCTGCATCTAAATTCCAGATTCTCTCTTTTTTTTCTTCATTCAAAATTCAAAGTTTCAATTCTCATGGCTGGTCTTCAGTACAACTTTTTCCCCACCGATTTCTTCTACCCTCGTCCGGCACAGCCATCTACTCCCGCCGTCGAATCTAGCCTACTATTTCAACCTCCACGCCTCTGATCCAAAAGAGAGAGACGGCCGATCGTGATGACGGCAGTAAACAGCCCGGAACTCTGGTTACACGCCGCAACAACAAGTTCACCGTTTCCATGAGGAGGAAGCAAGGCGTGAAGCTCGGTAGGATTTACATTCGGAATCGAGGCGATCAAGTCAAGTTGCCGCGAAACTCTGTTTCGTGGTTGATCTTGATTCCCGACGAAGAAGGGCAGTTGGATTCCTCTTGAATGATTGGAGTTCTGAATTAGGGTTTAGAAGATGGTTTAATTAGGTATTAACTATTACTAAAACGTGAATGTTTTTCGCGTTAATTACTGAATTTACTGTTCTGAATCCGATCCCATGCTTTTGGGAGTTTTATCACCTGACTGAAACAATTATATTGGGAGACTTCTTTGTTATATATAATAATACTCTCTCTTTTGGTTTCATGATATATTTCCCCAAATTGTTAAGTTTTTTTACCCATAGAAATCCTTTACAATATTTCCTTTGTTTCTCCACTAGTTTGTTAATGATAAATAATACAGTATATACTCTATAAATTAAAATCCAATAAATTAATAATCTTTCTAAATAATAATTTTTTTGTCACGATTTAGATTTAAGGTTTAAATTAATAATTTCGATTAATTAATAAGATAATAATTTTTTTGAAAGAATCTCGTATAAATTTATGGTCCTCTAATATTATAAATTAATAATTCTATAAAATTACAATTATAATTAGGACAACTTAGTAAATTATAATTATATTGTTGTTTGCTTCATAAAATTTAAATATAGATGTATTTTATCTCTAACTTTTATTAGTGCATCCAAAAAGTTCGGTTTTGCGTTTTCACACTACAACAAAAAGTTGTGAAGAGTTGTTGTAGCTATCGGAGAAACAACTTATAAATAATCTTCTCTATCTCTAAATATTTTATATTTGAGTCGCTTGTTATCCCTTCTTTTTTCTAAGTTAGCCGAAATGTACTTGGATGCTTGCTTGAGTATGTTTAATATTGTACATTGATTAACTTTCAAATGAAAATTTTTATCAATCCACTGTTGTAATTTTTTTAGTGTATGTGGGGTGATCTCTCTTATATTCACATCACTCATTACATATTTGATATGTCATTATTGATTTTTGGACACATTTTAGATGTGAAGTCATGGTTGATTGGTTTTGATTTGGATTGACTAATTGGTTTGAGAGTCGGTCAGAATTTCCAGCCCTAGAAACTGTAAAACCACAAAATCAGAGCAAAATCCGAACATCAACGACATGCCGAAAGAATCGGCCACAATCAAATCCTTGTGAAATCGAGATTAAAGCACCCAATTAAGGGAAACAACTTGTTCTGGAGGCTATAAAAGGACATCGGTTGAGCATTGTAAGACACGAAATCCAACAGAGAAAACCCAGCAATATATGGAGGCAACACATAAAAACTGAAATACCAAATATCAAGCAACAAATATTACAAGGCAAACAAGCATTTTTAAGCTCAAAAATATCATCAAAAGGAAAGTTCAAACACAAAGGAGAAAACTTTGTTCGTTTTCGCCGCCGGAGTGAAGCTAAAGGTCGTTAGAATTTCAAAAGCCAACGGACTAAAGGTAAAGTTCGAAACTTCAAACATAGACCTACGCCGTTTGGGTTTTTTTAAGGAAATTTGGGGCTCAGTTTCAGAATCGGGGTGGCAAGAGAAGTGTTTTGGGTTAGCTTAGGTATTTCGGCAAGTGGTCGGCACTTGGCCGGATAGAGGAGAGAGTTGATAGAATTTTAAGGGGAGAAGTTTTTTTTGTGAAATGTGGTAAAAATGAGTTTTATTTTGTGATTTTAGGGATATTTATATGAGGGACCACCTTGTAATTATAAGATTTTTAAATTATTTCCGCAGTCCCTATAGTTTTGATGCGTAATTCATTTTGGTCACCTGCTGTAAATTTATCTTGAATTTTGAATTAATTCAATTTAATCCCTATTTATATTTTTATATTTTACAAATTGAGCCCCTAACTTTTTATTTTTCTCCTTGCAAATTTCAATTAACATCAATTTAACCCCCAATTTTAAGTTCTTTCCAATTTATCCATCTTTAATTTTGTTTTCTTTTAATTTAATTCTTTTTTCATTTATATTTTATTTTTTTATTATTTGATATTAATTTGACTTTTTAGGGCAATTTTAAAATAGGTCCAAGGTAAGTAATTCAGATCAAATTTTGTAAATTTTAATTTACTTTTAATTGTCGTAATTAAGACAACTAAGAAATCAAATTAGTACCGAAAAGGCAGAACAAGGTATTAATTCTTCCTTGGTTGTAATCGACTCATGGATCGATTAATTACTGGTATAACGTAGATTGTTAAATGGTAAGTTAAGTGGTCCGACCAACCTAATTTTAAATGATCAGTGGCGCTCCAACAGATCATTCAAAGTCAAAACCCAATTTCGGGCCCACTCAAAGTACGGTTACGACACTTGTTGACAAAAACATAATGATATTAAATATATAAAATGAGTATGAAATTATACGAAATAATTTTACTAAATTAATAAAATTACATTTATTTGACAAATTCTCCTACCGACTTCACTTGCTTAAAATATTAGTCTGTAAAATATAACTCACACTAATTTTTTTTTTCTCTCATCAAATCTCAGCTTTCATTTCTTAAACCATCTCAGTACACCCTCTAATATAAAGCCAAAAAAAATTAAAACGATTTATGGAAGGTCGAAATTTAATTAGTCGCTTTACAAAATAAATTAAAATATTAAAATAAAAAATATATATGTGATAATATAGTAGACATCTATAATTTAATAATTTGTGTACCACGCAATTTAATTGATTTAAAGAGGTATTAATTAATCGATAAATTAATAATTTATTATTTTAAACAGATATTTTACTATTCAAAGAACCTACATTTTTCCTCATGAATAAAACATATACAATGTATTGACTAATTAAATGATTTTTATTTACAATGTGACTAATTAAATATAATACATACTCCTTAAAAAAGAAAGTTCATTGTAGTACGTAGTTGTCGTAATCGGTTTTTGTCCGGGCACAATTTTACTTGGTGGGAAAGTAATGTGAATAAATAAATGGTTTTTAGTGAAATATTTTGGAGTCGCCATCGACCTTTTAGGATAGGTAGGTCGAATACCTAAAAATCATCTTTTAAAAGAACTTTTTTTTAAAAAGAAAACTACTTAAAAGATAAACTGGCATGCGTGTAATCAAAAATTCATTCTTTTTAGTAATAAAAAGGGATTCGTGGTCGATTACGTTTAGGGAATGATTAACACCCTTATAACGCCCAAAATTGGTACCCATTAATTATAAATTGTCTCTATTATTAGAAATTAAAAATTCAAAAATATATTTAATTCATAATCCTGTTATTTCAAATTTATTAGTATAATTTCAAGAAAATATATTAATTTTTATATTTTAAATCAATATATTAATTTTTATATTTTTAATAAATATATTTTTTAGATTTTTATAAATAAGATATTTATTTACTTAGAAATATCAGAAAATGACATCTAGTTGCTTTAAGACATCCCCTTTATTAATATTAAAAAATAAATAAATATTAATAAAACATTTACCTAATAATTTAAAAAATAATAAATATAAATTAATATATATAATTATAAAATTAGGATATTTATTTATTTAAAAATATCAGAAAATGGCATCTAGTTGCTTTAAGACAACCTATTTCTTAATATTAAAAAATAAATAAAAAAATTATTATTTAATATATATATATATATATATGACTAATAAAAAAAATAATAATTAAATATATTGAACATAAAAATAATATGATAAAAATAAATTGCAATTGAATAATAATTCAAACAAATAAAGTTATAGGACTAGAATATAAAATATTGAAATTAGAGATACTAATTCGAAATATTATGAGAAATAATGGTTAACAGTGTAATTTAACCTAATTAATTATTCGGGATTAAAAAATTAATTATTAAAATTAAAGGTCTAAATCTATTATTTTACCTAAAATATATATAATTATGCAAGGAACTAAATTATAAAGCCAATAAAATTAATAAA